TGTTGATATCTTCATAAAGCATTCTGTTTTCTCGTTTGTTGATGGCCTGACATGTGAAAGATATCAGTCGATGTACCCATATAATGAAAAAGGAATTATGCCCRTGCTCGTGAAATTAACAGTTTTCGTCTGTTTGTTAACAAGCCACATGTAGTAACAACAATAGGTAAAAAGCTCCGCTTTTGCCTGAAAACCTCACTAACCGATCTGTAAACTTTTACCGCACCAATTGTGTGCTCAATGCTTACTCTCAGTTGCCTTAACTTTCGATTAGCCGTTCTCTGGAGGCGATTTCTTGCTATTCTATGTGGTCTAACTAGAGGTATTTGACCAGGGTATCCTCCATCTGCAAGTATACGTGCGTTTCTCGGAAGAGGGCGCTGCCGACCAAATCCGATACTAGGTAGATATCGGTATGTCGAAGCGTCGTTGAGATGCCCAGGAAAACTGTTCGATTCAAACAAATCATBATCAATGGGTAATAAAGTTTACAAATATACTATCAGTGTCACATTTACTTTTTAAAACGAACAAAAACAAGAGACATTTCCTTACCCTGAGATAAGCATTACTATCATACCATTCGCATCAACAATTAGTTGTGTTGACATAAAGTGCGTTTTCTTGTCTCCCCGATAAAATTCAGCTTGCATTCTTCCAGAAGGACGTCGTATGCKGTGTATTGTAGCGTCTACAATAYCCACGGCATTAGGAAAACTCCTCCACACTCCAAGAAATGAAGACCATTGTCTTATATTATGCCAAGTTATGAAGTTTTGAAATCGYAAAAACAGGATGGGAACCACGTGATAGATTTCTTCTTGAACGGTGCTTTTACTTATTGAAAAAAGTGAAGCTAGGGAATAGTAMGTTGGGKAACTTCTAAGCCAAATTACAGCAAGAAGAACTCTGTTTTTTACATCAAGAATACAGCCTCGTCTTCGCCCAGAAATCGGCATTCTTGGCAACATCCGAGGTTTCACAACTTCTGCAGCTATTGCCTGTACAACTCTGTTGAGCGAAATGACTGTATCCCCACTTGCGTACCAAAACTTTCTCGGRTCATTCTCCAACAGTCGCCATACATCTCTCCCGACATTTTTTCTATATACCGCACCTGGAAAGAGAAGTTGCAGGAATGGAATTCTTGAATCCAAAATCTGTAAGAAATATGCCACGATAGCGAGCACATTCATTATAGGAAGAAAATGTAGAGGAACTGCTGCGTTAGGTGAATTTTCACTAGCAACAGAAAGAACCATAAAACATGTATTAAGAGTGTGCAGAACAAGAAAATTTGGGAAAGGTGGTGGAGCTCGATTCATGATTAAAGTTGTAATAGTAGCGTTCAAATTATTGGGCATCTACAGTTTTATTATATTTCTTGGTAACATTTACACGGTGCTATTCTTTTTGTATTCCCTAAGATTTAGCAGGTATATTCATCATTTGTTAATTAATCTGTGAAAG